TTCCAATTTGAACTTTTGGAACTTTTCAATTTTTTTTAATCGCAAAAGTGAAAAATCGAAAAGCTAAAAAATCGGAAAAAATTAAAAATCTAATAACTGAAGAAAAACCAAAAATTGCAAAATCGAAAAAGTGGAAAATTCAAAAATTTCATTTCGAAGAACCAAAGAAACGAAAAATCGAAACACTAAAAAACTAAAAATTGAGATATTCAAAGTCGAAAAAAAATTAACCGAAAATTTCGAAAGAAAAAACAAATCGAAACCATTTTTTGGACCATAATTTTTCGTTTTTTCCGTTTCTTTAATTTTTCAATGTTTTGGTTTCATAATTTTTCGTTTTTGCAACTTTATTTTTTGCAACTTTTCAATTGTCACCTTCCAAATTATTAAATTTGTTGTTTAGTCAATTTTTAAATTTGCAGTTCTCAATTTTTAATTTTTCGATTTTTCAATTTTTCGTTTCTTCAATTTTTTAAGTTCTCGATTTTTATTTTTAATTTTTCCGTTTTTTTCTCAATTTTGTATCAAAGGTTTTCGTGTTTTAATTTTCTTTATTTTTTCAATGTTTCTTTCGATTTTATAATTTTTCATTTCTTCACTTTTTCAAATTTTTAATCTTCGATTTTTCAGTTTCTCGATTTTTCAATTTTAAGATTTTTCAAGTTTGAAATTTTTCAGATTTCTCAATTATCCGATTTTCCGCTGTCTTTAATTTTCAATTATTCGATTTTACAAAATTTCGATTTTCGATTTTGCAGTTTTTTTCGATTTTTAAATCTCTCAATTTTTAATCTTTCGTTTATTCAGTTTTTTGGTTTCTTCAATTTTTCAAGTTTTTGATTTCCAATTTTTAGAATTTCCAAAATTTTCATTTCATACTTTTTCTTTTTTTCTTTTTAATTTTTCCATTTTGCATTTTTGTACCTTTTCCATTTTTTTCATTCGAAAAAAAAAAATCTAAAAACTGAAAAAAATGACTGGAAAGAACGAAAAAATGCAAAATCGATCAATTTTTTCATTTTTCAATGTTTCGGTTTCATAACTTTTCATTTTTGCAACTTTAATTTTTTTTAAATTTTCAGTTTCTTACCTTCCAAATTTTTCAGTTCTGGGTCAATTTTTAAATTTGCAGTTCTCAATTTTTAATTTTTCGTTTCCTGTATTTTCCAAGTTCTTGGTTTTTATTTTTCATTTTCCCCATTTTTAATATACTTTTTCCTGATTTTGTATCACTATTTTTTCAATGTTTCTTTCGATTTTATTATTTTTCATTTCTTCAGTTCTTCAAATTTTCAATCTTTGATTTTTCAGTTCAACGATTTTCCAATTTTTAAATTTTTCACGTTTGCAATTTTTGAGATTTCTCAATTATCCGATTTTCCGCTTTCTTTGACTTTTAATTATTCGATTTTACAATATTTCGTTTTTTCAATATTTTGGTTTCTTCAATTTTTCAAGTTTTTGATTTCCAATTTTTAGACTTTTCCAAATTTTCATTTCACACTTTTTTCTTTTTTTGTTTTTAATTTTTCCGTTTGGCTTTTTTGCAACTTTTAATTTTTTTCATTCGAAGAATAAAAAATGGAACAACTGAAAAATCGGAAAAAATTGAAAAATCAAATAACGGAAAAGAATGAAAAAATGCAAAATTGAAAATGTGGAAAATCGAAAAATTTCAAATCGAGGAACCGAAGAAACGAAAAATCGAATCACTGAAAAACTAAAAATCGAGATACTTCCAAGTCAAAAAAAAAAATTAATCGGAAAATTGGAAAGAAGAAAAAAGGAATCGAATTGAAAACCAATTTTTTGGTACCACATTTTTTTTTTGTTTTTCAGTATCTTTAATTTCTTAATTTTTTCATTTTTGAGTGTTTATTTCGATTTTATAATTCTTCATTTCTTCAGTTTTTCAGTTCAATTTTAAATTTTTTCAAGTTTGCAATGGTTGGGATTTCTGTAATTTTTTAATTTTCAATTATTCGATTTTTCAATTCTTTGGTTTCTTCAATTTTTCAAGTTTTTGAACTCCAATTTTCAGATTTTTTAAAATTTCCATTTCATATTTTGTTCTTTTTTTGTTTTAATTTTTTCATTTTGCTTTTTTGCAGCTTTTCCATTTTTTCATTGGAAAAATTGATGTCTAATATTTATTTATTTATTTATTTATTTATTTATTTATTTATTTATTTATTTATTTATTTATTTATTTATTTATTTATTTATTTATTTATTTATTTATTTATTTATTTATTTAACTGAAAAAAACGAAAAATTGTAAAATCGAAAAATTTCAAATAAAAGAACCGAAGAAACGAAAAATTGAAACAGTGAAAAACTAAATATCGAGAGGAAAAGAAGAAAAACGAATCGAACCGAAAACCAATTTTTTTGTACCACAATTTTTCGTTTTTTCAGTCTCCTTAATTTTTTCATTTTTCAGTGTTTCGGTTTTATAATTTTTCGTTTCTGCAACTTTAATTTTTTTTAACTTTTCAATTTCTCACCTTCCAAAATTTTCGATTTTGCAATTTCTCGTTTTTTCAAGTTCTTGTTTTTTATTTTTCATATTCCCTATTTTGTATCACAAGTTTTCATGTTTCCATTTCCTTTATTCGTTCATTGTTTCTTTCGATTTTATAATTTCTCATTTCTTCAGTTTTTCAAATTTTTAGTCTTCGATTTTTCAGTTCCTCGATTTTCAAATTTTAAGATTTTTCAAGTTTGCAATTTTTGGAATTTCTCAATTATCCGGTTTTCCGCTTTCCGTAATTTTCATTTATTCGATTTTACAATATTTCGTTTTTCCGATTTTCTAGCTTTTTTCGATTTTTATGTCTCTCAGTTTTTATCCTTCGATTTTTCAATTTTTTGGTTTCTTCAATTTTTCGAGATTTTGATTCCTAATTTTTAGATATTTCAAAATTTTCATTTCATGTTTTTGTCTTTTTTGTTTTTAATTTTTCCAATTTGAATTTTTATTTATTTTCATTCGCAAAATTGAAAAATCGGAAAACTAAAAAATAGGAAAAAATGAAACATCTAATAACTGAAAAAAACGAAAAATTGCAAAATCGAAAAACCGAAGAAACGAAAAATCGAAACACAAAAAACTAAAAATTGAGATACTTAAAGTCGAAAAAAAAAATTTGAAAAATTGGAAAGAAAAAACGATTCGAAAACCAATTTTTTGTACCACACTTTTTCGTTTTTCAGTTTCTTTAATTTTTCAATTTTTTCATTTTTCAATGTTTTGGTATTTTTTGTCAATTTTTAAATTTGGAGTGCTCGCTTTTTAATTTTTCGTTTTTTCAATTTTTTGTTTTTCCATTTTTCCAGTGCCGATTTTCTAATTTACTTTTTCTCGATTTTGTAAGGTTTTCATGTTTCGATTTCCTTTATTTTTTTAAATGTTTCTTTCAATTTTATAATTTTTCATTTCTTCAGTTCTTCAAATTTTCAATCTTCGATGCTTCAATTCCTCGATTTTCCAGTTTTTAAATTTTTCAAGTTTGCAATTTTTGGGATTTCTCGATTATCCGATTTTCCGATTTCCCTAATTTTTAATTATTCGATTTTACAATATTTCTTTTTTTCGATTATTAAGTCTCTGAATTTTTTGTTTTTCAAAATTTTCATTTCATATATTTTTTCTTTTTTGTTTTTAAGTTTTCCATGTTGCATTGTTGCAGCTTTTCTATTTTTTTCATTCGAAAAAATTGAAAAATAAAAAAAGTGGAGATACTTAAAATCGAAAAAAAAATGAATCGAAAAACTGAAAAGAAGAAAAAACGAATCGAAAAATTGGAAAACTCAAAAACTGTAAAATCAAAAAATCGAATTGTTAAGTCGAAAAACTGTATCGTTGGAAAATCGAAACATTGAAAAATCGAATAAATAAAAAAAAAAATTAAAATTCAATATCTGAAAAACCCTAAACTCGTAAAATGGATTACATATTTATAATGAAAACTAGAAAAATTGCAAATCAAAAATTGAAGAAACGAAAATTGAAAAACCGAGGAAATGAAAAATTTTAAATTGAAAAAAAAAAAAAAATTAAAAAAGTCAAACTTGAAAAAGCAAAATTTTAAAATGGAAATATTTCAGATGGAAAAAAGAGAAATTATAAAATCATAACATGAAAAATTGAAAAATAAAGAAAACAAAAAACCGAAACGAGAAATTACAGAAGAAAAATTGAAGACATGAAAAATTGAAAAATTAAAACTGAAAACTCGTGAAATTGCAAATCGAAAAACTGCAAAATTTAAAAATCCATCCAAAAGTTCGAAAATTGAAAAAGTGAAAAATTTTAAAATGAAAATTTGGAGAGATAGACAACGTAGAACTGAAGAAACAAAAAATGAAAAATTGAAAATTTGAAAATCGAAAAATTGGAGAATCGAAAAACTGAAAAAATTGAAATTGAGAAAACAAAACATTATAGAATCAAAACCTTGAAAAATCGTGAAAATAAAGAAAATAAAAAACGAATCGAAAAATTTAAAAACTAAAAATTGAAAAATTCAGAAGTTGGAAAATCGAAAAACTAAAAAATTTAAACTTGAAAATCCGAAAAATTCCAAGTCGCAAAAGTGATTAAACAAAAAAAAAAGAAAAATTGAAGAATTGAAAATTTCAAGTCAAAAAAGCTGCGAAAAAAGCCGGATTTGTTGGGCTGTACGTCAGGGACTACGGAAGTTCTGTCAAGATAACCTTCGACTAATTTTTATATAAGAAAATTCTTCTTAACAAAGAAAAATGTCGATTCTTCAAAACCACGTACATTTTTTGTGTTTCCTCCCACTTTATTTTTAGTCTTATTCAAGACTACAGTAACAATTCTTCATTTTTTTTATTTTTAACCCTTTCGAGACAAACACTCCCACCCTGACATTTCCTTTACGACCCACTAAATTTCCTCCAACTGAACACAACAACTCCTCCCGGATGGTCGGGACATAAAATAATAATTACGCCAAGTTTTATTACTTTGCAAGCCTAATTTATTATAATTATTGTACGGAAAGCATTACACTGATTTAGCGATTTTCGTGGGTGTGGGTAGAGTGCAATTTTCGGTTCAAAACCGGCGAACGTTTCGGCGACTTGCTGTTGTCACCCTCAGGGGACGGCGACTGACCACCGTTGCCGGATTTCCCAGCCGCCTTTAACCGAACCTTGGTATCGAGATGACGGAATCTGCAAAGCAAACATTTTTAAGAAAAGCAAACACTCAAAACTCGATGGTTTCCATATTTACTACCAGTCACGTAGCCCGCCATTCCAGAAAGCCACTTTACGTAAAATTTAGCACACCACGTGGCGAATTATTATATTTATATTTTTTCTCGTGTCTCGTAATAATAATAATAATAATGATAATAATAATAATGACCCCCACGTGCGCGACTTTTCCATGAATTCTCTATCTTGAATGCGTAATAATCCCGCGCGCTCCCGGAATACAAACGAGCTCCTTACCGGATCGGAACGTCGCTGCTGGATCCATCCTCGGCGATGCCCTGGAATAAAAATGCCAGGGGCCAGCTAATCCACGAGGCGCTTCTGGAACGCCACGATTAAAATTAAGCTAGAATTGAATCATCGAGCAATTACAGAGGAGGCTGAACGGTGACGTTTCCATCCGGAGACTCCGCGGCCTCCGTGAGGTGTCTCCTCGTCGCCGGGAGGGCTTTGGCGATCGACGGGTTGTAGATCTTCGGATCACTGACCATCCGCACGAAGAACGATCTTTTGTGGGCCAGAGTCTCCTTCTTCTTTCGCTCGAGGAGTTCAAACACCTCGTCCTGCAACTCCTACAGTTTTTCTCTTAATCTCTAGCCAAATATTCCGAATGAATTTGAATAATTTTAATTGAGTCGAGAAAGCAGGACCGTTAGGATCTAAATCTGATCTAATGATGCGATTATATGATAATTGACTTTTACTCGTGTGTCGAATTAAGGGTAATTAATTGAGCGTTTCGGGCGAAATCTGACGGCTATAAATATAAGTTAGATCATCTTTTCGCCATGTTAAATGCGTTATGGTCTCGTTGTGAATGCTGTGAATCATTGGCTTTGTTCTTTTTTTCGTGAAGATCTGCTTATGATCACTTTGTATATTGTTGTTGAGGGGAAAAAACGACATTGACATTGCGGGATTGTTTTCATAGCTGCGGCGCATTGGGATTGTGTGAGCCTGTCCTTTTTGAGAAGGGATTGCGAAAAAATTGGGAGCTATTTTAAGATTTAGGAGAACTCGTTTTACAATTTTAGTCTACTTTTAACATGAAAGAGTGCGTGTTTACGCGACAACTGGAATAGTTTTACTAAAAATTTGTCGTGTTACATAATTTTTAGTGTTCTGTTGAGATAATAAAATTAATTGCAGATCACATCTGGTGCGATTTTAAAGTCTCATTTTTCTGTTTAAAAGTTGTCATTAAAAATAAACTTGCCGTTAAATTTGCTTTGTGTTAAACGTTTTTATTATTACTAGAAAAAGTAACGTTGGGTATTTATTATAAATACAGAAGTAAAGCGGCAATAAAAGCTCATAAAGATCTGGCTAATTCAGTTTTTTATTTTATAAACATAATTATATGATGTAATTGTTTGTTCAAACAATAGTACCAGTATGGGGAAACTAAACTTTTACAGTTTTTTGTTCACTTGGATATTTATTGAGATTTTATTTGATTATTTATGGTGTTCATTACATTAGAACAAAGTATGGTTATCCAGATTTCAACAATTCCCATTAAAGCACCCACTGCTTTTCATCATCGCGAATTATAACTAAACTGCTAAAAGGACGTGACTTATCTAAGTCTAAGAATTCCTTTCAGAATTGGTTAACCACTCTATGCAAATTTTGTTTCTCGGAAATATCATTGAAATTAACGAATTTGTTCGAAGTTTGTGGAAGTTCTTTTTGTTTTAATAAATGTGTTTTCTGATTGGTTTCACCTTTTCTCACAAAAGCAAGAGAAGGTGGCAGGACGGTCTACATGCGATTTAGTAGCATTTTTTTGAAGTTGGCAATTAATTAAATAATAACCTACTTAAAAACCAACAATAAATAAATCTCGAAGTAAATAACTCAACCTTTCAAATTCGAGCGTAGCGAGCTTTTACTTTTTTTGTTTTTTCAGTTTCTAGATTTTGCAATTTTTCGATTCAATTTTTCATTTCTTCAAATTTTTGCTTTGCGGTTTTTCAATTGTTAATTTTTTGTCTTATTCGCACTTTTTTAGTTTTCATCTTTAAATTTTTGAATTTTTCGGTTTTCCATTTTTTGGATGTTTCAATTTTTAGATATTGCATTTTTCGATTTAAAAATTTCTCGAGTTTTCAATTTTCAATTTTTAAATTTTTCAATTCTTTAATTTTACAATTTTTCAGTGTTTTGATTTTATCATTTTTTGTATATTTTTTGAAGTTGGCAATTTATTAAATAATAATCTACTTAAAACCAACAATAAATAAATCTCGAAGTAAATAACTCAACTTTTCAACCTCGAGCGTAGCGAGTTTTTATTTTTTTTTTATTTTTTCAGTTTTGCAATTTTTCGACCCATCAATTTTTCATTTCTTCAAATTTTCGATTTGCGCTTTTTGAATTTTTAATCTCTTTTTCTTCTTCAGACTTTTCTAGTTTTCATTTTTAAATTTTTCAATTTTTCGGTTTTCCAACTTTTGGATGTTTCAATTTTTAGATATTGCATTCTTCGATTTAAAAATTTTTCGATTCTTCAATTTTACAATTTTTCAGTGTTTTGATTTTATAATTTTTTGTTTTTTTTTTGCAATTTCTGTGTTTCCAGTTTTTCGATTTTTCGATTTTTAATTTTCACTTTCGGCTTTTTATTGTCTTTATTTTATAGTTTTTCGGTTTTCCAATGTTCTGATTTTATAATTTTTCCTTTTTCAATGTGAAATTTTTCAGTTTTTGGATTTTTCTATTTTTCGATTTGCAGTTTTTCGGTTTTCAATTTTTCAACTTTTAGACTTTTTAGTTTTTCAATTTTTTCATTTGAATTTTTTTGTTTCTTCAGTTTTTACATTTTGCAATTTTTCGGTTTAAAATTTCTCGAATTTTTGCAACTTCTCAGTTTCCAGTTTTTTAATTTTTCGGTTTGCAATTTTTCCTTTCGGTTTTTTATTTTCTTTGTTTTTGTTAATTGTTCGGTTTCCCAGTGTTCTGATTTTATAATGTTTCTATTTTCAGTTTTTGGATTTTTCAATTTTTCGATTTGCACAATTTCGGTTTTCACTTGGTCGATTTTTCGACTTTTAGACTTTTTCGTTTTTCAGTATTTAGGTTTTGTAGATTTTCGGTTTACAATGTCTTTAATGTTCAGTTTTTAATTTTTCAATTTTTTAATTTTTCGACCCATCAATTTTTTATTTCTTCAAATTTTCGATTTGCGGTTTTTCAATTGTTGATTTTTTTTCTTCTTCAGACTTTTCTAGTTTTCATTTTTAAATTTTTCAATTTTTCGGTTTTCCAACTTTTCGATGTTTCAATTTTTAGATATTGCATTCTTCGATTTAAAAATTTCTCGAGTTTTCAATTTTCAGTTTTTAAATTTATCAATTCTTTAATTTTACAATTTTTCAGTGTTTTGATTTTGTTTTGTTTATTTTTTGCAATTTTTGAGTTTACAGTTTTTCAATTTTTCGATTTGCAATTTTTCATTTCGGTTTTCTATTTTCTTTATTTCTTAATTTTTCGGTTTTCCATTGTTCTGATTTTATAATTTTTCTTTTTTCAATATGAAATTTTTCAGTTTTTGGATTTTTCAATTTTACGATTTGCAGTTTTTCGCTTTTCGATTTTCCGACTTAGACTTTTTCATTTTTTTGTTTTTTCGATATGAGTTTTTTAATTTTTTGGTTTGCAATTTTTCCTTTAGGTTTTTATTTTCTTTGTTTTTTTTTAATTTTTCGGTTTTCCAGTGTTCTGATTTTATAATTTTTCTATTTTCAATGTGAAATTTTTAAGTTTTTGGATTTTTCAATTTTTCGATTTGCAGTGTTTCGGTTTTCACTTCTTCGATTTTTCGACTTTTAGATTTTTAAAATTTTTTAGTTTTTCGATATGAGTTTCTGGAGTTTTTAATTTTAATTTTTCAATTTTTTCATCTGCATTTTTTTGTTTCTTCAGTTATTAGATTTTGCAATTTTTCGATTTACAATTTCTCGAATTTTTGCAATTTCTGAGTTTCCAGTTTTTTAATTTTTCGGTTTCCAATTTTTTCTTTCGGTTTTTTTCTTTTCTTTGTGTTTTTCTTTTCTTTGTGTTTTTCTTTTCTTTGTGTTTTTTTTTAATTTTTCGATTTGCAGTGTTTCGGTTTTCACTTTTTCGATTTTTCGATTTTTCGATTTTTTCGATTTTTTAGTTTTTAGATTTTCGATTTACAATTTCTTGAATTTTCAGTTTTCAATTTTTCGGTGTTCTGATTTTATAATTTTTCTATTTTCAAAGTGAAATTTTTCAGTTTTTGGATTTTTTAATTTTTCGATTTGCAGAGTTTCAATTTTCACTTTTTCGACTTTTTCATTTTTCAGTTTTTCGATTTACAATTTATTGAATGTTAAGTTTTTAATTTTTCGATCGATCAATTTTTCATTTCTTCAAATTTTCGGTTTGCAATTGTTTAATTTATATTTATTTTTTTGCTTCTTTAATTTTACGAAATGCAACTCTTCTAGTTTTCATCTTTAAATATTTCAGTTTTTCAGTTTTCCAACTTTTGGTTGTTTCAATTTTTCTTTGTAATTTTTTTATAATTGTTCTTTTTTCAATGTCAAATTTTTGAGTTTTTTGATTTTTCAATTTTACAATTTGCAGTTTTCCTTTCTCGATTTTTCGACTTTCACACTTTCATATTATTATTATTATTATTAAAACATCAATGAATCGAAAAATTGAAAAATAGAAAAGTCGAGAAATTGAAAAAAATGGAAGATTTCACATTTTTTAATTTTCCGTTTCTTCAATTTTTGATTTGCAATTTTTCTAGTTTTCGTTTTAAATGATTATGTACCAATTAAAAAAAAACATGTCTTTTTCAATTAATCGATATATAAATTTTTCGGTTTTTAGTTTTTCTATTTTTCGATCTTCCAGTATTACACTTTTTCGACTTCACAATTTTGACGATTCTATAATTTTCGGACTTTACAATTTTTGGGTTTTCCAATGTTTCGCCTTCGCCTTTTTTCTTCTTTCCAATTTTTGAATTCGTTAATTCATTGTTTTAATTTGTCGTTCCTTCAGTTCTTCCATTTTGCAGTTTTTCGTTTTTTCGATTTTAAATATTTAGATTTTTCAACTATTCTAATAAAAAAAATGGAAAAATAGCAAAATTGTGAAATTGATAAATGAAAAATGAAAAAACAAAAAGTGTAAAATGAAAATTTTTAAAAATCTAAAAATTGGAAATCAGGAACTCCAGAAGTTGAAGAAACGAAATATTGTAAAATGAAAGAAATTGGAAAATCCGATAATTGAGAAACCCAAAAATTGCAAAACCGAAAAATTTAAAAATCAGTAAATCGAAGAATTGAAGAATCCAAGATTGAAAATTTGAAAAATTAAATAAACAAAAAATAAATTGGAAAGAAACTTTGAAAAAATAAAGGATATGAAAAAACGAAAAATTGTGTTATGAAACCGAGAAAATAAAAATTAAAAAATCGATAAAATGAAAAATAAAAATCAAGAACTTGAAAAAGTGAGAAAATTACAAATCCAAAAATTGATCACACGAAAAATTGAAAAATTTGGAAGTTGGGAATTTGAAAAATTGAAAAAACAGAGAAACAGAAAAAAGAAAAAATTGTGATATCAAAAGACTGTGAAATCGAAAAAATGTTCAAATCCAGAAGACACCAATAAATATTTTTTTAATAAAACCTGAATGTGCTCGCTGCGCTCGCATTCTGGTTGGGGATAATTAAACACTTAGTAATTCCTTTGGAATCGATGGAATTATTTTGGAAATACCGGGTGCTTGACTGAAGCAAATTTTTGTGTTGGCAATTCTGAATTATTGGCAGTCATGCTAGTATGTCAGTGTTGACATGAGCACGCCTAACAAACGTTGAATTTATGGCAGCTCTTATAAATGTCACTTTGACAATCAGGTATGCCATCATAAAATTTTAAATATGTTGCCAACCCGACAAAAAGCCAAAAACACTAATAGTCAGTCGGTGTTTAAAGTCAAATGTCATTTAACAACGTTGTCACCTAGCCGGATCATGTGCAAAAAACCCTAAGTAATAATCGTGATCAGAGTTTCTGGTTTTTTCCTTTTAAATTGTACCTTAAATAAATAATCATCAATGAATTTCTTGGACTTTTGGGTAACGATGCGAGAATAAAATTACAGTCACGCGCTATTATTATTAACCTAAATTTGACTATAATTACATTTTAATAGTATCTAATTTGTATCTTACCTGTTCTTTTTCCGCTTGGCTCTCTAAAAGTTCCTCAGAAAATTCCCTAATTACCTTCCACGCATAATCTGTATAAAAAAAATACCAATAACAAAACTCACTAATTAAAAAAAAAGTACCTATATCAGCCTCAGTGGCATTCTGTGCCACCACACAAAACCGTATCACATACTTATCATTAACATTCGCCGGAACCATGTGAAGTTTCCCCGACGCATTAATCCCACTCAACAACTTCTCATTAATCTTATCCGACCCTTTCAATCTAAAACAAACCAGCCCCAACTACAACAAAAAAAATCTCAAAATCACCCCCAACTCCCCACCCGCCTTACTTTAACATCATTACAAATCTCAAATCGCTTATCCTGCAGCACCAGCGACTCAAAAATCTTCGCCAATTTAATATGGTGCCTAATGTAGTTCTGCAGCCCGGAAATTCCATAACTCCTCAATACAAACCACAATTTCAAAGACCTGAATCTGCGACTCAGCGGGACTCCCCAGTGCCGATAATCGATAGTCGCGTCGGAGTACCCGTGCTGGAGATAAAGCGGATCCACCACCAATGCGGATGTTAACCGAATCCGGTCACGTACCCACATCGTGGAACAATCGAAATTGGTCAGCAACCATTTGTTGGGATTGGTGTTGAAGGAGTCCGCGTACTCGATCCCAGAGAGGAGGTACTTGAGCTCCGGGCAGATGAAAGCGTTGCCGGCGTAGGCGCCGTCGACGTGGAGCCAAACGCACGGGAATTTGCGGCAGATGGGCCCGATCTCGGCGAGGTTGTCGAAGGAGCAGCACGAGGTGGTGCCGAGGGTGGTGGACACGAAGAAGGGGATGAGGCCCATGGTTTCGTCCTCTTCCATGGCCTAGAAAAGGTGGTTACGCATTTTTTGTTTTGTTCAATCAATCGGGAGCAGTAGGTTTAGTTGCAAAATCAATTTCAGGGATTCCACGAAGTCACAGTTGACCCCGTTTCGTTTCTATTTTTAATCAGTAACATTTATCATAAATAAACATTTATATTTCCTATAAAATGACACAATGATTGTGTTTTTTTGTCACAAAACGTTATGCCATTATAGAACAAAAGCGGAATTTAAGCTACCGGTTCCACGAACGAAATACCATCATAAGCGTCGATCCTCTCAACGCCGACTTCTCATCCGGTTCCAAAATCCTCAACTTCACAAAACAAATCATCGCCGCCTTCTCCACGCACGAATGCGCCTCTCTTGAACAATACGCCATCAACTTCGACAATAACAACCCCTCTTCCACGAACGGATGCTGCTGTTTCAGCCTCTTGAGAGCTTGAGCCCTCGCCGCCAACATAGAGACCAAGACGCATTCACTGGCAGACGTCTGGATGACTCCTCCGCCGCGACTTCCTTCCTTAAAAGCCAGGAACTGGTCGGGTAGACCTATAGCTTTGCCCAGCCAGTCCAGAACGATGGTTTCGAGTTCTGTGAGGGCCGGACTGGAAGCCTACAACCGCGTTAGTAAGGGTTGGGAATGAGGGAGACTGTTCGGTACCCATGAGAATCCAATGCAGCCGATTCCGCCTGAGAGCATGTCCCCGAGGATCGACGGGAACGAGTTGCCTGATGGAAAATAGGCGTGGAAGCGGGGATGCTGCCAGTGGGTCACGCCTGGCATGATTTTGGCTTCCACGTCGGCCATTATGGAAGTCCAGTCTTCGGGGTTCTGGGGGGCTTCTTCGGGGAGGAGTTTGCGGAGGTAGCCGGGTTCGATGTTGGGGGTCACGCGGCGGGTGTGGAGGTTTTCGTTATAGTTGCAGATGTAGTCGATCATGTCTTTGCCCGTTTGTCTGAATTGGTCGCAGTCCATTTCTGAGAGAGGAAGGTTCGGGGGGTTAAATAGGGGTTTTGGAATTTGAATCACGAGTTTAAAATTTAATGAAGAAAATTGTACTGGGAGTTATGTAACCAGCTCTACAAGAATGGTGGTAAAATTGCATACACTCGAATGCAATAAATACAGTGGTTTCTTGGTTTGTATATATTTTTTTATATTAATATAAAAATTGAAATTATTGTATCACACATTGTATATTTTAGTTCCGACCTCAGTGTAAAGATAAACGCTTTTATCCACTTGTCTTGTGTCAATATCGCATGTAGGGGAAGGTGGAACAAAGTTTCATAGGGGAGCATAGTGAAACATGACACAATAATCTAATTAATAACGGCTTTATTTCTTTTTTTGTTTGTTTGTATTAATACAAAAATCTAAAGCCGCATTATTATCTCTTTTTCACCAAAATTCATGGTTGATCTGTCACAGTTGAGATCATAATTTTTTTTTTTATAGAAAACCCTTTATTCTTATTTATTTAGAAACAATATTAGAAAAAAGTGAGTGTTTTTTGAACCACGTGATGCCGCGTGCTACAAAAACTAGGCAATGGAAATATTTGTTGTTGAGTCCTTTTCTTTTATTTGCTTAATTATTTTTGTGTCTATTTTTTCCTTAATGCTGTCTAATAAACCTGGGACAAATCCTATAAAAAATTGGACAACAAAATTTGAACAAAATTTATAAAACCGATATTCTTTATTTGATGACATCACAACTGAGATTTTTAATTTAATAAAACCCCTTTATTTTTATTTATTTTAAAAGAGAAAAACTAGTCATCAAAATTTGAAATTAATTAAAAAGTATTAATTTTTTGCAAAAACGCTCGTCCATGTCACTGTTTTGACGCATACTCTAATTAAGGTAACCCCATAACAAATTTTAAGGGTGTTAACACTCGACGCTGTAATACTTTCATAATATACCAGGTGATCCAAATTTAGTTTTGCAAGTCAGAACTCTTACTGACATTAATTAGTTGAGCTATCGTTACATGGTAAAAGCTAAGTTTAATTCTGACTTGGGTATTTTTTGAACCACGTGATATAGTAAAAATACTCTGAGATAATAATATTTTTTGTAATAATTAATTATTACTTTTTTTTTGCTTAATTATTTTGTGTATCTTTATTATAATTTTTTTTTCATTATTGCTCTCTATATAATAATGAAGTCTGAAACAAATTCAATAAAAAAATCAGGGAACGAAGTTTAGCAAAATTCACGAACCGACATTTTGTACTTGATGATGTTATAGTTGATTTTGCCAAATGATAATACTGCATTTTACATTTAATATTTTCGTATTCGAGGTTAACCTTCTCTTCTGTTCTTTCTATTAACATGCCACTTTCCTTACATTTTTTACTTATATTCCTTTATTTCTAAAGCGATTCAGTTCTTGATTCAGGTTTTTTTCTAGTTTTATGAACACTACTCTTAATATTGCTCAGTTCTATCTTAGCAGATTTTAGCCCCGCCCACCCACCCTTACTTATCTTAGAAGGTATGTCATTTGCCAAAATCACTCTTACGTTAGCAGGTACTAGCCCCGCCCACCCACCCTCTTTTTTCTTAAAGCATATCTCATTTGCCAAAATCACTCTTTGCTTAGCAGGTAGTAGCTCCGCCCACCCACCCTGTCTTTTGTTACAGGGTATCTCATTTGCCAAAATCACTCTTATCTTAGCAGGTACTAGCCCCGCCCACCCACCCTCTTTTCTTAGAAGATATGTGATTTGCCAAAATCAGTTTTATCTTAGCAGATACTAGCCAAGAGTGATTTTGGCAAATGAAATACCCTCTAAGAAAAGAGAGGATGGGTGGGCGGAGCTAGCAGCTGCCAAGATAAGACTAATTGTGGCAAATGACATACCTTCTAAGAAAAGAGAGGGCGGGCGGGCGGGGCTAGCTAGCTTGCTAAGATAAAACTGATCTTGGCAAATGACATACCATTTAAGAAAATAAATGATAGAAGGTATGTCATTTGCCAAAATCACTCTTACGTTAGCAGGTACTAGCCCCGCCCACCCACCCTCTTTTTTCTTAAAGCATATCTCATTTGCCAAAATCACTCTTATCTTACCAGGTAGTAGCCCCGCCTACCCACCCTGTCTTTTGTTACAGGGTATCTCATTTGCCAAAACCCTCTCTTTTCTTAGAGGGTATCTCATTTGCCAAAATCACTTTTATCTTAGCAGGTACTAGCAATATCTTTTCTTAGAAGATGATTCATTTGCCAAAATCACTCTTATCTTAGCAGGCACTACCTCCGGCCACCCACCCTGCTTTCTTGGAGATATGTCATTTGCCAAAATCAGTTTTATCTTAGCAGGTGCTAGCCAAGAGTGATTTTGGCAAATGAAATATTTTCTAAGAAAAGAGAGGGTGGGTGGGCGGGGCTAGCAGGCGTCAAGATAAGACTGACTGTGGCAAATGACATACCCTGTAAGAAAAGACAGGGTGCGTGGGCGGGGCTAGTACTTGCTAAGATAAAACTGATCTTGGCAAATGACATACCATCTAAGAAAATAAATAATAGAAGGTATATCATTTGGCAAAATCGCTCTTATCTTGACAAGTATTGGCCCCGCCTACCCACCCTTTATTTTCCTCGAGAGTGTGCCATCTGGCAATATCGACTTTATCTTGGCAAGCACTAGCCCCGCCCACCCGACCTTTATTTTTTTAGAGGACGGAGTTCGTACGTGCTAAAGTAAGATCGATTTTGGCAAATGACATACCCGCTACGAAAAAAGTGAGTGGGTGGGCGGGGTTAGTACCTGCTAAGAAAAAACTGATTTTGGCAAATTATAAACCCTCTAAGAAAAGAGAGGGTGGGTGGGCGGGGCTAGTACCTGCTAAGATAAAAGTGATTTTGGCAAAAATAAAACATCAGGGGACCTAAAATTTCGAATATTTTAAATCTCGGATTTTCAAAAATGTGACAATTTTTGATACGTTAAACATTAATTTTAATTATTTTTGTGTTTATTTTTTTCCTTAATGCTGTTTAATAAATCCGAGACAAATCCTATAAAAAATTGGAAAACAAAATTTTACCACAATTCATAAAATTGACATTTTGTGCTTGATGACGTCACAACTGAGATCATCAGTATTTATTTTTAATAAAACCCGTTTATTTTTATTTATTGTAACAGAGAAAAAATAGTTAAAGTATTAATTTTGTGCAAAAAACGCTCGTCCACGTCACTGTTTTGGCACATACTCTGTTTAAGGGTGGCGTCTGGTTCGGTTTCGCCCAATACTAAATACATTGAAAACATCGTCGTAGTTTCCGGAATTGCATTTTTAAAATACTGAAATCTCCAACCAAGTCAGAATCTAAGTAAACCTGTATTCTGCTACCGCATCACTGCTCGTTTAATGCCGATTTCTCGTTTCAATAGATTTTGACTTTTCGCGAGTTAGTTACCTCAGTCGTGGATTTTTTAATATTATAAATGGTATCAAAAGAAAGCTGACACTTTTCCCCAGGGGACCTCCTATCTCAGAATGCAAAAAACTTCAGCACTTCGTCAAAAAATGCATCAATGTGCCGGTTAAAATGTGATGTAAAAGTTGTTCAACTTTATAATTTTTTTTTGTAAAAACTGCATACTAGATATGAAAATAAATATGGAAGTCCCCTGGACTGAAGTTTGTTAATTCGAAATATAATTTTTTTTAAAGCGATATATCTCATATTTTTATCACGCTTTTATTAGCTTGGGTTGTATGTAACGGAATCTTTGAGCTTAATTTTCATCGGTTTCTAAAAGTCTGATCATCTTGAAACTTTGCACGCGTCTCAAGGATCGATGACAATGCAATAATTTGATAACAGTTTCCCATTATCCTTATTAGGAGCGCCAGGATTTATAAATTCTTTTATGGATCCTGTGTAGTGGAGTAAAAGAGATAAAGCTAGCGCGCGATCTGCGCATGCCTGTAGTATCTGGTTTACTCTTCGTTGTAATTATAGTCTTGATTAAAATACAAATAACGGATATTAAATGAAAAAAACAAGAACGGACTTTTAATTAACTAAACGTGTGCAAAAATGGCTGATCGCATCTTAATTGTGTCAGTATATTATATACCACGGTTATCTCTCTCCGTGTCGATTATACCGATCTATACCGATTATTTCTGTTTCAAGGACAATTTCTGCATAGCTTTGGTTTTACAGTCGGTAAAGAAGGAATTAATTATAATTAAAACATATCTAATCATGAATTCTCACCAACTTAAATAAAGATAACAAATTTTGATTCAGAAATACAAACATGGAGGAAAATTAACCATTTGGGGGGTAAAACTAACCACAATGATGAATTGTGTCCCGTTGGTCCGTGAGGGCGATTGATTTCGAACTAATTCCCGTTGATCGATCATACGGAGACCACTGAGTGGTTCTTTCTAGAAAAATCTAAATAAGTAATTAATTCCCCAATTTATGAATTTGTCGCAGACTAAAAAATGAAAAATAAATAATAGTTTAAAAAACTAAAAAAACACGCTTTTATTGCTAATCGAACTAAAAACTGGAAAATAATTTTTAATGACACAGTTTAATATTACAGTAGTAGAAGATCAAACAATCAATCATAATAATTCACCTCAAATTAAAATTATAATAAAATTTAAGTTATTAACAGAATAATTCAATTCAGAGTAAAAAGCGTGGGGTGCTTGATATTTTAAATATTACAATCATTCTATTGGCAACTATCTATGAGAGGATAGTTATGAACCGCAGTAAAATGCACCCCACGCTTTTTACTCTGAATTGAATTATTCTGTTAATAACTTAAATTTTATTATAATTTTAATTTGAGGTGAATTATTATGATTGATTGTTTGATCTTCTACTACTGTAATATTAAACTGTGTCATTAAAAATTATTTTCTAGTTTTTAGTTCGATTAGCAATAAAAGCGTGTTTTTTTAGTTTTTTAAACTATTATTTATTAAAATGCAACTCCGGAAACCGCGACGATGTTTTCAATGTATTTAGTATGGGGCTAAACCGAACCAGACGCAAGCCTTAAGGTAACTCCATAACAAATTTTAAGGGTGTTATAAGACTCGACGACGAGGGTGGACGCTGTAATAGATTTATAACATACCAGGTGATTCAAATTTAGTTTTGCAAGTCAGAACTCTTACAAGTCTTACATTAATTAGTTGAGGTATCGTTAAATGGTAAAAGCTAAGTTTAATTCTGACTTGGGTATTTTTTGAACCACGTCATATAGTAAAAATACTCTGAGATAATAATATTTTTTGTAGTCCTAATTATTTCTTTTTATTGCTTAATTATTTTATGTATCTTTATTATATTTTTTTTTTCATTATTGCTCTCTATTATAATAGGGAACGAAATTTAGCCAAAATTCACGAACCGACATTTTGTGCTTGATAACGTTATAGTTGAAGTAATCAGTAAATATTTATTTTTCATAAAAAAACACCTTTCTTCTTATACCGAGTGTCTGGAAAATGGCGGATTAAGTTAGTCATCAGTATTTGCTAAGATAAAACTGACTGTGCCAAATGATAATACTACATTTTACATTTAATATTTTCGTATTCGAGGTTAATCACCTCTTTTGTTCTTTCTATTAACATGCCATTTTCCTCACATTTTTTACTTACATTCCTTTATTTCCAAAGGGATTCAGTTCTTGATTTAACTTTTTTCTAGTTTTATGAGCAAGCAGTAGCCCCGCCCACCCACCCCTTCTTCATTCCAGTGACTACTCTTAATATTGCTCAGTTCTATCTTAGCAGACTTTAGCCCCGCCCATCCACCCGTTTTTTTTCTTAGAAGGTATTTCATTTGCCAAAATAACTCTTATCTTAGCAGGAACTAGCCCCACCCACCCACCCACCCTCTCTTTTCATAGAAGGTATGTCATTTGCCAAAATCACTCTTATTTTAGCAGGTACTAGCCCCGCCCACCCACCCTTTCTTTTCTTAGAGGGTATCTCATTTGCCAAAATCACTCTTATCTTAGCAGGTACTAGCTAAGAGTGATTTTGGCAAATGAAATATCCTCTAAGAAAAGAGAGGGTGGGTGGGCGGAGCTAGCAGCTGCCAAGATAAGACTGATTGTGGCAAATGACATACCTTCTAAGAAAAGAGAGGGTGGGTGGGCGGGGCTAGCAAGTGCCAAGATAAGACTGACTGTGGCAAATGACATACTCTCTAAGAAAAGAGAGGGTGGGTGAGCGGCGTTAGTACCTGCTAAGATAAGACTGATCTTGGCAAATGACATACCATCTAAGAAAATAAAGGGTAGAAGGTATATCATTTGGCAAACTCAGTCTTATTTTGACAAGTATTGGCCCCGCCCACCTAACCTTTATTTTTTTCGAGGGTATGCCATCTGGCAATATCGGCTTTACCTTGGCAAGCACTAGCCGCGCCCACCCGACTGATTTTGGCAAATCATAAACTCCCTAAAAAAAGAGAGGGTGGGTGGGCGGGGTTAGTACCTGCTAAGATAAAACTGATTTTGGCAGATCATAAACCTCCTAAGAAAAGACAGGGTGGGTGGGCGGGGCTAGTACTTGCTAAGTTAAAAGTGATTTTGGCAAAAATAAAAAATGAGGGATCCTAAAATTTCGAATATTTTAAACGTCAGATTTTGAAAATTGTGACAATTTTTGATACGTCAAACATTAATTTTAATTATTTTCGTGTTTATTTTTTTCATCAATGCTGTCAAAAAATCCGAGACAAATCCTATTAAAAATTGGACAACAAAATTTTACCACAATTCGTAAGAGTGACATTTTGTGCTTGATGACGTCACAGTTGAAATCATCATATTTTATTTGTAATAAAACCCCTTTATTCTTATCTGTTTTAAAAGAGAAAAAATAGTTATCAAGATTTGAAATTAATTAAAAAATATTAATTTTTTTGCAAAAACGCTCGTCCACCTCATTTTGACGCGTACTCTACTTAACGCAATCTCACAACAAACTTTAAGGGTGTTAAGACAGCAAGACGAGGCTGGACGCTATAATAGTTTCATAATATACCAGGTGATTCAAATTTGGTTTTCCAAGTCAAAACTCTTACAATATTAGAGCTTAATAATTGTTTCTCTTTTTTTATGTTACTTGCGTATTTAAATAAAAAAAATCAGTGTCTCTTAATTTTTTTGGTTAATACTGTCTGTATAATCACAATTAGCTTGGGACAAATTCAGTAAAAAATTGTAGAACAAAATTTGACCAAAAATTCACAAAACCCATAATTTGTGGTTGATGACGTCAATATTTCTTTTTAATAGGAAAAATATAATTTACTTTTCATAATTACAGATCACTCATCATAAAAAATGGATTTTTGGGTGACATTAATAAAATTTATTGTACTTTTAATTGACACTTGTAACATAAGCACAGCATGGGGAATAATGCTTAAAAAATACCACAAAAATTAAATAAAACTTGTGGTGCGGCTGCCCTAAAATTTTACACCCACTTTTTTATTATTCAATTCGTCATTAAAATCAGCATTTTACTCGTTACTGTAGCTAAAAATTTTTCGGGGGAAAAATAATCCCCACTTCGAAAGTTTCATTTTGGAAGCTGCGTTCGCCAGCTTAAATAGTAGTAACAGTTCCTACCTGTTGCTCCCGAGTGACTCGTCGTCGTCCAGAAGCACACGAGTTTCACCACCGCCGGCCACCGTTTAACTCCGCGAATAATTTCCCGACCAAACCGCCGACTTCTTTCCCCAATAATTTTGCATCCCCGACTACAAAAGACGTTCTCCATCTAATTGACTTTTCGCACAGACGTCAAACGTGCAGGAATCTCGCTCCAATCACCGACTCATAAAGAACCCATTTTCACAACAATAGAAACAGAGCAGTTTTTATCCCCATCCAAACTAAAAAAAAAAAAAAAACTACGTTCGATTTTATCACCTAATTAGAAAATCATCCCTAAGCCGCCCCATTCCATTTCATAAAACGCGACATAAAGAGTTAATTGTTGTGGGGAGGATTTCGGAAGCGTAGGGTTAAATTTCATCCAACTCCTTGCAATGGAATGGGGTGCATTCCTATGAATTCATTCTTCGCGCTCTCGAGTGGGGTACTGGAACGACCTCAATATCGCGCCATCGACATTCTATTAAATTCTTCTATAACGTCATTACTGCTGCCGAGGGATGGTTTCGTCTCTTTCCGACACCCGGAGTTCGGCATGTGGTGTTTCCAGACGAAGCGAAAAACGCGGTCTATTTCATTTCGCAGGGTCTACTTCAGATAATTAGAATTTATTCGAGTATGACTTCTTTTTTTAGAACTTTGTAGTGCAAATTGTTTGCTTTTTTTATACGGCGCGAAGACGATGCGTGGAAATGACCTGAAAGAGCGCTTTGTTCTGGAATTATTGTCGCACGAGGCACTCGAAACGTTTTCTGTTTTTAATTAAAGGGCTCGAATGACGCAGATATTTCATAATTTCAAGTGCAAGACGAGGAAATATTAAAAAATAAACACAAAAGTGGGTCAGTTTTGCTATATTTATCTATAGTAGGAATCGCTAATACAGCTATAATTATTTATAAAACAGATAATATAGAAATGTTAATCTAAATAGGTTAGTGTACCTTAATATTTCAACATATTCATTTCGCACTAATTTGATAAGACATTTTTAAAATCGACATAATAAAAAAATCCCATTACTAATGTTTTGATCGTTGGTCTTAAATTTAACAATACAAGATTTGTTTAAAAAATAAATTTTGCATAGCTCTGACACACGAAATCATTAGAACACTGAAACTGTTGTCATTAAGTGTTAAAATTTGCGAAGCAAAAAAATTCACACTGAAAATTACTTCAAAAAAATCCTTATTGAACAACGCCGAAAAATAGTTTTTTTTTTTCATAATTTGCTTTAGCGCGTTGTTTAATTTCCTTATTTCAAAAGAACAAGATAACCGCAATCCGCCTATATAGAACAACTTTATTGATAAAATTTATTACTTGTCGTAATGTAGGACAAGATGAACCACTGCATTATACTGTTTATCCTGTGGAAGACAGTGGACTGTCAAAATTACTGTGTTGTGAGTGCTGACGACACAAGAGGTCTGTTCATCTTTAATTCCATACCCATGGTCAACCGTCATGACAAGGATGACACTGAAGTCGGTTGGTAAAACGTAATAATTTTATTATTTGTGAATACCTACATCATACATGTAGATACGACCTCAGAGTATACATTATCCTCTGAAAATGTAACAAGTGGATGGACTTTGTTGAATTCGCTCGAAAACAGCATTGTGGATGATCCTGTGATAGACGAACGCTGGGAAACGTTTATGAACAATCATGGCTCAACACCGCACGATTTTCGGGAGGTTTTGACAAGAAATGTTAGTATGTTTCTAAGTGTGAGAATCCGTAACTCTTCAAACTCTTCAACGACGACTGAGTTGTCGGAGTCAAAGGTATACACGTACGTAATTATTAATTGGTTGTAATACTCATACGTTTTAGTGGTATCATTTGAAATCTAACGCTTCTGGAATCTGCGAAAATGGCACTTTCCTAAACACGAATTTGACCATTTTGCAACTTTACAACAAATATTCCAAAAGTGTCTGGAAAATACACAAGTGTATGTAAAGAAGAGCTTTTAGTTGCACCCACACGAAATTTTATTGCAGAAATAATATTACCAACAAAATTTTTGTGCGTGCAGACTATTTTTTTTATGATTGTTATAAATGTATTAACGCAATTTGTTGGCAGATGATTATTTTCATACTACAAACAACACAGCCCACAGTGTAATATACAGTAATGACAGTGACTGCAGCAATCACAGTCTATGCTTTTTCATATATACAGCTGCTTGTAAGAATTGCAGCATGTTGGTGAAAATTGTGTCAAATGACGGTAGAAATCAGGTCATTCTGGATGACAAGGTATAACAGTTACCCAGTTGACCATAGTGTAGTGTCATTTTCTAGATCCCGGGAGAAGAAAAATGGACCCGAAAAGAAATCTGTGTTGAAAATGTTTCCAGTTGTTACAAAATAACCATACAAACCGAGGGTCCTAAAGATGGTTTCTGGGCTATATATCCGACCTTATATGTCGCAGTACCCCCAAGCATAAACTGCAGCAGTTACGTACGCTACATCGAGCTCCGAAGTGACTCCTATTTGTGTGAAGATTCTTCAGGCACGAGTATAAAATCAGTCCCTACAAGGTCCAAAGAATGCGCTGTAGATAGCAAAAACCAAAAAAATTCTTCAAATTATGTTGACAACTCTTTACAACAAACGTCAATTCCTATTTACTGGTGGTACCTAGCAGCTTTATTTACCACACTCATCATCATAATCATCCCATTGTTGAGTTTTATCCACTCAAAGAAGAAAAAAAAGTCCCTTCAAGGTAATTGTCCGATTTCAATTTCAACAAACTCATTTTTTTTAATTAGGCGACGCAGAAAATCTTCTTGAGAATAGTGGAACCAAAGAAGAAACCAACGTTTCAATTAAGAGGATCGATTTTTCGGAATATGTTCAACGGGAACGTAGTTCTAATTTTGCACGTCTTCGAACTCAGTTTTCTGTAAACATTGCTTTTGTTGTTTTTATTTACTAGTAGTGTATTTTAGACCATCCCTGATTCCTACTTGAGTGACTGTAGTGACGGAAAACAACGAAATAATGTGGCTAAAAATCGACGTCCAGACATCGTACCTTGTAAGTACATTGTGTAAAAGTGTCAATTTTGAAGTACGCACTTTCAGATAATTACAATCGAGTCAGGCTTAAAAACACTGGAAAGTACTTTAAAGGGGATTATATAAACGCCAGTTATGTGCAAGGACCTAGTAATTATAGAGAGTATATAATTGCTCAGAACCCCCAAACCAACACGATTGGTGATTTCTGGGCCATGATTTGGCAAAAAAAAATTACTTATTGTGTAATGATAACCGGTGAACACGAAAACTATCTTCGTTACTGGCCAAATTTGTCCGAAAAATATGTTGCCTATGACGATTTTCAAATTATTTTAGTGGAAGAATGTAACTACACATTTTTTCAAAAGAATAGACTTTCGGTTACGAGACAAAGCGAACGTAGGGAGGTCGGTAAGGAACGGTTTCATCATAAGATAATATTTTTGTTGTTGTAGATATCCATTCTCCATTATTATGCTTGGAAGGATGACGACTTGAGTAGAATTCTCGCGTTTGTAAATCGTTTACAAAAAATACCTCATTACAGTGCCCCCACACTATTTCATTGCTTGTATAAATTTGAACAAACGTTTTATCATTTTTTTAGAACTGTGTTTTCAGGGACGGCACTGGAAGATCTGGACTTGCTGTTCTATGCGATATAGTGCTAAGATCGCTGCCTATCACAGGCTCGATAAATATATGTCACGTAGCCACGATGTTAATAAAGTCGAGAATTAATGCCATAAATTCGGTAATGCGGATTGGTGTAAATGTGTTAAAGCTAACAGGTTTTGTTTCAGCAACAATACATTTTTGCACATTTGGTTATAAACGATTTCCTCAAAAAATACTAAGCAGTGGTTTTTGATTTTATTTATTGTATTTAAAATAAAATTTAATTTCAAACCGAATATGTCTAACTTCTTATCCCCTATATTTCTGGAATCAGCACGTCAAGATCCCTGAATTTTTCAAAAGTTTAGATGACTTTTTGAAAAATGAAATTTCCCACTGCAAATTTCGACCCATTTTCGACGATTTTCGAAATTCAACTAAACACTTTTCTTGGAGATTTCGGGCCGCAGAAGTCACTTCCGGCCTCATTTTTTCGATAATTCCAACCGTTTTTCCAGAATCGTCCACTGAAATATCGAAATTTTGACCCTAAACACGCTATATTTTTGGAATCAGCACGTCAAGATCTATAATCCTGAATTTTTTGAAACTTTTTTGCCAACTTTTTCAAAAATGAAATTTCCCACAATACACTAGTCATTAATCCTTGTGCATTATTATTAATAAATAAACTAACAAACAAATTTAATAAGACATTTATAAATTGTAAACCAAAAACATCAAAGAAAAATCCATTAAAGCATTAAAAGTTATCATCAGTACTTGCTAAGATAAAACTGATTTTGGCAAATCACATACCTTCTAAGAAAAGAGAGGGTGGGTGGGCGGGGCTAGTATCTGTTAAGATAAAACTGATTTTGGCAAATGACATAGTCTATAAGAAAATAAGAATTTTCGGACGACTTTTTCAAAAATAAAATTTTCCACTATACTGGGTGTCTGGGAAATTAACTCTCCGCTATGCTTTTAACAATCAAATGGTGAATCTAGCAAAAATAGTAAAAACAATTTTTCTCACATTTTGGTGGAGTTATAATGATTTAAAAATTGTGTCTTTTGCTGCGTTTAACAATTAAACAACACATTCATTATCACAATAACTAGTAATAAAACTTTTGGTTATTTTTTCTCTCGCCCATGACCATGTTTAAGTACCATTTCAGTTAGAATGTACAAAGATATGGTTGTGTTATTTTTGTAATAATTTGATAAAATTCCATTTGACAACAATGTTTGCCTGATATAAAGGTCTTAAGGTTTTAGGTATTCCTATTTGAAAAGAATTTGAAAGTGCTTTGGAGTCTCTAGTGTCTTTTTTGTAATAATTTAATTAAATTTCTTGGAGGATACGTCGTTTGGTAAAATCACTGTTATCTTAGCAGATACTAGAACTATCCACTCACCCTCCCTTTTCTTAGAGGATGTGTTATTTGCCAAAATCAGTCCTATCTAAGCAGGTAATAGCCCCGCCCACCCACCCTGTCGTTTGTTACAGGGTATCTCATTTGCCAAAATCAGTCCTATCTAAGCAGCTAATAGCCCCGCCCGCCCACCCTGTCTTTTCTTACAGGATATCTCATTTGCCAAAATCAGTTTTATCTTATCACGATTCACGACTACTAGTGGGAGGTATTCACGCATTAGATGTATGCAATGTTGCCAATTTTACTTTTATAAAATTACGTTTTTTCCACAATCTACCTCCGGTTTACTTTCTGATTTCTTAGTAATGATGGTGACTGAAATCCACATTTTATTTTTTTTAGGACAATCACCATAACAACCCCTAGTCATTAATCGTTGTAAGCTCGTAATGTTTCCAAATTTTGATCATTTTTTGTAAAAGTTAGTCATCGATACTTACTAAGATAAAACTGATTTTGGCAAATGACATACCCTGGAAGAACGGAGAGGGTGGGTGGGCGGGGCTAGTCACTGCTAAGATACGATTGATTTTGGCAAATGACATCCTTTAAGAAAAGAGAGGGTGGGTGGGTGGGCGGGGCTAGCAGCTGCTAAAATAAGGTCGATTTTGGCAAATGACACATCCTCTAAGAGAAGAGAGGGCGAGTAGCTGCTAAGATAAGACTGACTTTAGCATCGTTTAAGAAGGGATTTCTCGAAATTCATCCCCTAAGGGGGTTAAATAGGGGTGATAAAATTTGAATAGGACCAACATATCTACTGTAAATTTACATCGTTACGTGAAACCTGGTACATTTTCATTTTCTTCAGTACAAATAAGGAAGTACGTATTTAAGCATTTTCGAAGATTCGACCCCTAAGGGGGTGAAAAGTGGTGTCTAAGTTTGAGCGGTTAAATTTGTTTAGGAAGAATATTTCTACTATAAATTGAAATTTTTACGTGAAACTTGGTATTAATGTTTTTCAACACAAATAATGAAACCCGTCTTTAAGCGTTTTGTAATATTCAACCCCTAAGGGGGTGAAAGGTGGGGGCTAAATTTGTATGGGAAAATATTTCTATTGCATACTTAAATTTTTACGTGAAACTTGGTATTAATGCTCTTCGACACAAATAATGAAACGCGTATTTAAATATTTTCCGAGATTCAACCCCTAAGGGGGTAAGAAAGAGTGTGGCTAAGTTTGTATGAGAAAAATATTTTTATGGTGATGTGACTTGGTATTAATGCTTTTCAGCACAAATAATAAAACACGTATTTAATCATTTTTCCAGATTCAACCCCTAAGGGGGTGAAAAATGGTGGCTAGATTTATGTGGGTATATTTTTATTGTAAATTTAAATTCTTCCGTGAAACTTGGCATTAATTGTCTCCAACACAAATAAAGAAACACGTATTTAAGCATTTTCTGAGATTCAACCCCTAAGGGGGTGAAAAGTGGTGGGTAAGTTTGTATGCGAAAAATATTTCTATTGTAAATTTTGAGGTGATGTTTATTTCAAACTTGGTATTAATGCTCTTCAACACAAATAACGGAACCCGTATTTAAGCATTTTCGGAGATACGACCCCAAAGAGGGTGAAAAGTGGTGTCTAAGTTTGGGCGGCTAAGTTTGTATAGGAAGAATATTTCTACTATAAATTGAAATTTTTACGTGAAACTTGGTATTAATGTTTTTCAACACAAATAATGAAACCCGTCTAAGCATTTTGTAAAATTCAACCCCTAATGGGGTGAAATGTGGAGCCTAAATTTGTATCGGAAAATATTTCTATTGTATACTTAAATTTTTACGTGAAACTTGGTATTAATGCTCTCCGACACAAATAATGAAACACGTATTTAAATATTTTCCGAGATTCAACCCCTAAGGGGGTAAGAAAGAGTGTGGCTAAGTTTGTATGAGAAAAATATTTATATGGTGATGTGACTTGGTATTAATGCTTTTCAGCACAAATAATAAAACACGTATTTAATAATTTTTCCAGATTCAACCCCTAAGGGGGTGAAATATGGTGGCTAGATTTATGTGGGTATATTTTTATTGTAAATTTAAATTCTTCCGTGAAACTTGGCATTAATTGTCTCCAACACAAATAATGAAACACGTATTTATGCATTTTCTGAGATTCAACCCCTAAGGGAGTGAAAAGTGGTGAGTAAGTTTGTATGCGAAAAATATTTCTATTGTAAATTTTGAGGTGATATTTATTTCAAACTTGGTCTTCAGCACAAATAACGGAAATCGTATTTAAGCATTTTCGGAGATTCGACTCCAAAGGGGGTGAAAAGTGGTGTCAAAGTTTGGGCGGCTAAGTTTGTATAGGAAGAATATTTCTACTATAAATTGAAATTTTTACGTGAAACTTGGTGTTAATGTTTTTCAACACAAATAATAGGGGGTGAAATGTGGAGGCTAAATTTATATGGGAAAATATTTCTATTGTATACTTAAATTTTTACCTGAAACTTGGCATTAATTGTCTCTAACACAAATAATGAAACACGTACTTAAGCATTTTCCTAGATTCAGCCCTTAAGGGGGTGAAAAGTACTGGCTAACTTTGTGTGGGAAAATATTTCTATTGTAAAATTAAATTTTCACGTGAAACTTGGTATTAGTGCTTTTAAATACAAATAATGAAATACGTATTTAAGCATTTTCCGAGATTCAACACCTAAGGGGATGAAAAGCCGTGGCAAAGTTTATATGAGAAAAATATTTCTACTGTAAATTTAAATTTTTACGGGAAACTTGGTATTAATACTCTTCAACACAAATAATGAAACACGTATTTCAGATTGTTTTGAGGTTTCACCCCTAAGAAGATGAAAGGGGGTGACAAAGTTTTTATGAGCAAACATTTTTTATGTCGATTTTTACTGGAAATTGTATTAATGCCCTTCAACACACGAAGCCGCGGGCGAAAAGCTAGTTATTTATAAAAATGTTTTAATACTGAAGTTCATTTTCTGTTAATTATATTTGCACGTTACACTTCACTACAATTTATTGTTATTACCAAATTATTCTGCTATAAACTAAATCTCTTTTGTAAATAATCATTTCCAAATTAAGTATAATTATTCATTTAAGCAAAATACATACACTTGAAGTATTCCCTTTGCCCAGTCACTAGAATGTGTTAAAGGCTCCAAATCACTTTCAAATTCTTTGCAAACAGGAATACCTAGGACCCCCAGATTGTTCTAAATTTACAAAAAAAAAACGGGCTCCCAAAATTAACTCAAAAACAAGTCAGGTGAGAATTTTGCAAAAATAGAATACCAAGTCCCCCAAAATACTTTTAAATAAACTACAAAAAAAAAACTTAAAATAATACACCGTGGGTGTCCAAACATTGCGGCTCTCAAGACTTTTTCAAGTTCGTAAAAACTAAAACACTAAAAGCTCAAAAGATTTTTTCAAGTTCATCCAGCAACAAAACACCAGATGTAGGAATTCCTGTTTAGTAAGGATTTGAAACTGCTTTGGAGCCTCCAGTGTCTTTTTTATAACAATTTAACTAGATTTCTTAGAAGATACGTCATTTGCTAAAATCAGTCTTATCTTAGCAAGTACCCCACACCCGCCCTTAGAAGATATGTGATTTCCTAAAATCAGTCTTAGCAGATGTGGTGACCGAATTTGAATCAAATCGTCGCGCTGAAAGTATTTAACAACGGCACGAAATCACATTTCAATAATTTTAATTTGAAAGAAAAAAATTAAATAAAAAAAATCGTTAAACATAGGCAACCATGTGCACGTTAGCGATTGGGGGTAGTTCTGCATGGCTGAAAGCGGGGGCAAAATTAGTACTACGTTCCCGTTGAACATATTCCGAAAAATGGATCCTCTTAATTGAAAAGTGGGTTTCTTCTTTGGTTCCACTATTCTCAAGAAGATTTTCTGTGTCGCCTAATTAAAAAAAAATGAGTTCGTTAAAATTGAAATCGGACAATTACCTCGGAGGGACTTTTTTTTCTTCTTTGAGTGGATAAAACTCAACAATAGGATCATTATCATGATGAGTGTGGTAAATACAGGTGCTAGGCACCACCAGTAAATAGGAATTGGTGTTTGTTGTAAAGACTTGTCAACATAATTCGAAGAATTTTTTTGGTTTTTGTTATCTACAGCGCATTCTATGGACTTTGTAGGGACTGATTTTATACTCGTGCCTGAAGAATCTTCACACAAATAGGAGTCATTTGGGAGCTTGATGTAGCGTACGTAACTGCTGCAGTTTATGCTTGGGGGTACTGCGACATATAGGGTCGGATATATAGCCCAGAAACCATCTTTAGGACCCTCGGTTTGTATGGTTATTTTGTAACAACTGGAAACATTTTCAACACAGATTTCTTTTCGGGTCCATTTTTCTTCTCCCGGGATCTAGAAAATGACACTACACTATGGTCAACTGCGTAACTGTTATACCTTGTCATCCGAAATGACCTGATTTCTACCATCATTTGACACAATTTTCATCAACATGCTGCACTTCTTACATGCAGCTGTATATATGAAAAAGCATAGACTGTGATTGCTGCAGTCACTGCCATTACTGTATATTACACTGTGGGTTGTGTTGTTTGTAGTATAAAAATAATCATCTGCCAACAAATTGTGTTAATACATTTATAACAATTATAAAAAAAATAGGCTGCACGCACAAAAATTTTATTGGTAATATTACTTCTGCAAGAAAATTTCATGTGGGTGCAACTAAAAGCTCTTCTTTACATACATTTGTGTATTTTCCACACACTTTTGGAATATTTGTTGTAAAGTTGCAAAATGGTCAAATTCGTGTTTGGGAAAGTGTCATTTTCGCAGATAGTTATTCCAGAAGCGTTAGATTTCAAATGATACCACTAAAACGTACGAGTATTACAACCAAAATTAATAATTACGTAAGTGTATACCTTTGACTCCGACAACTCAGTCGTCGTTGAATAGTTTGAAGGGTTACGTATTCTCACACTTAGAAACATACTAATATTTCTTCTCAAAACCTCCTGAAAATCTTGCGGTGTTGAGCCATGATTGCTCATAAACGTTTCCCAGCGTTCGTCTATCACAGGATCATTCACAATGCTGTTTTCGAGCGAATTCAACAAAGTCCATCCACTTCTTACATTTTCAGAGGATAATGTATACTCTGAGGTCGAATCTACATGTATGATGTAGGTATTCACAAATAATAAAATTATTACGTTTTACCAACCGACATAAGTGTCATCGTTGTCATGATGGTTGTCCATGGGTTTGGAATTAAAGATGAACAGACCTCTTGTGTCGTTAGCACTCACAACACAGTAATTTTGACAGTCCACTGTCTTCCACAAGATAAGCAGTATAATGTAGTGGTTCATCTTGTCCTACATTACAACAAGTAATAAGTTTTATCAATAAAGTTGTTCTATGTATATAGGCGGATTGGGGTTATCTTGTTCTTTGAAATAAGGAAATTAAACAACGCGTTAAACGCAAATTATGAAAAAAAAGAACTATTTTTCGGCGTTGCCCAATAAGGAAATTTTGAAAGTAATTTTCAGTGTGAATTTTTTTGCTTCGCAAATTTTAACACTTTCAACAATAGTTTCAGTGTTCTAATGATTTCATTGTCAGAGCTATGCAAAATTTCTTTTTAAAACAAATCTTGTATTGTTAAATTTAAGACTAACGATCAAAACATTAGTAAAGGGATTTTTTATTGTGTCGTTTTTAAAAATGTCCTATCAAATTAGTGCGAAATGAATATGTTGAAATATTAAGATACACTAACCTATTTAGATTAACATTTCAATATTATCTGTTTTATAAATAATTATAGCTGTATTAGCGTTTCCTACTATAGATAAATATAGCAAAACTGACCCACTTTTGTGTTTATTTTTTAATATTTCCTCGCCTTACACGTGAAATTATGAAATATCTACGTCATTCGAGCCCTTTAATTAAAAACAGAAAATGTTTCGAGTGCCTCGTGCGACAATAATTCCAGAACAAAGCGCTCTTTCAGGTCATTTCCACGCATCGTCTTCGCGCCGTATAAAAAAGCGAACAATTTGCACTACAAAGTTCTAAAAAAAGAAGTCATACTCGAATAATTTCTGATTATCTGAAGTAGACCCTGCGAAATCAAATAGACCGCGTTTTTCGCTTCGTCTGGAAACACCACATGCCGAACTCCGGGCGCCGGAAAGAGACGAAACCATCCCTCGGCAGCAGTAATGACGTTATAGAAGAATTTAATAGAACGTCGATGGCGCGATATCGCCCATTGAAATATCGAAATTTTGAAAAATTTTAAAAAATTTAAAGCTCACTCCAAATATTTCCAAAATATTGCTCTGTGACCCTAAACACACTATATTTTTGGAATGTCGAAATCTATAACTCTGAATTTTTCGAGAATTTTTAAACGACTAATAAGTAAAATTTTAAATTATTATAAACAAAACCAAAAACAACGAAGAAAAATCCATTAAAGCATAACCAACTAGATTAGAGATGTTCAAAATACCTGCCTTTTGTCAAAGTTAGCCATTAGTACTAAGATAAAGCTGATTTTGGCAAATCACATACCTTCTAAGAAAAAAGAGGGAACCTGTTAAGACTGATTTTGGCAAATTTCCTATAAGAAAACAAGAATTTTTGGACGATTTTTAAAAATCAAATTTTCTACTACACTGTGTGTCTGGAAAATGGCGGATTAACTCTCCCCTACGCTCTTAACAATCAACTGGTGAATCTAGCCAAAAAAAGAAAAAAAAATCGGACATATCGGATAAACGTAAACTCGGATAGGAGAATAACCTCCGAAGAGAAGATCTGGGTTATATCCTTCCGCCGTTAAGATAGTCAAGGACAAAGAGGTAATGAGTAGTAAAGGGAAAGAAAGAAAGAAAAGGGATAGAGAAGTAGAGTCGCCGAAAGAGAACGAGCAGGTCTTCCAAAGAAGCAAAATAAGAGTAAGATCACCTCTGCAATCGAGAGAGGAAAGGAAGAAAGGAAAATCAAGAAGATATAGAGATGGAGGAGGTCAAGAAGATAATCAGCGAACTTGCGACACAAATCAGAGATGATATGAGAGAAAGTGTTAAACAATTATTGAACGAATGGAATACACAGCTTAAAGAGGAGCTTAAAACAATAAGAGAAGAATTAAAGCAAACAAGAGATCAACTACAGGAGCAAAATCAAGAAATTAGAGATAAGTATGAAGAATGGAAGAGAGCTAAGGACGAAATGGGAAAGAGAGTGGGTGAAGTAGAAAGTCAACTAGATCGAATGGAGAGAGAAAGGAGAAGAAATAAAGTAGTGATGATGGGATTGGAAATAGAAACAGGAGAGCAGAAGCAGATAATTGGAAAAGTGACAAAATTTTTAGAAGAGAAAGTCAAAGAACTTAGAGAGTAAAGTTAAAAGCGCGTACAAAATTGCAGAGAAAGTTTATGTAGAGGAATTCGAAAACAGAGAAGAAAAAATAAATGTAATGAAAAGCAAGAAGAACTTAAAAGGGTCGTCAATTTACATAAATGATGATCTGACGAAAACGGAAAGAAAAATTCAAAACATGATAAAAGAAGAGGCAACAAAAGAGAGAAATAAAGGAAAAATGGTTAGAATGGGATATAAAAAGTTAACTGTAGACGGCAGAAATTTTAAATGGAATGAAGAAGAGGGCAGACTTAAGAAGGCAGAAAATTTTTAGTAAAGAGCCAAAAGAGAAGGAAGAAAACGAGGAAAAAGGGAAGCAAACAAGGCAAAGGAAAAGGAATAAAGGATGTAGATAGGGAAATCGGAAAAAGGGAAGCTGGTACAAAATTAGGAGAAAAAGGGGTGAAGGTACTGTTTTGGAATGTCCAAGGGTTGCGAAAAAAGGGGGGATTACGTGGGAAAATTTGATGTTGTGGGGCTAGTTGAGACTTGGGTGCAAAGAGAAAACTGGGAGAAATTGGAAGAGACACTACCACATGAATATGTGTGGGAGTGTCAACGGGCGACAATGGAAAAGAAAAAGGGGAGAGCAAGCGGGGGAATAGTAATGGGAATTCGAAAAGAACTGCAAGAATTGGAAAAGGGAAATAATAATAAAAACGGACTAATGAAGAAAGTAATACAGCTGGATAACAGTCAATGGGAAATAATAACCGTTTATAGCAAGAAAATGGAGGAAACCAAGATAAACATAGAAATGGAAACAAAAGAAAAAGGAGATGAAAAAATACTTATAGGAGGGGATTTTAACGCAAGATTGGCGATAAGGGGACAAGAATAATAGATAAAGAAAAGGGAGAGAAAAGAGGATCAAAAGATAAAGCAAATAACAAAGAAGGTAAAATATTGTGGCAGATAATAGAAGAAATGGGATGGGAAATTTTGAATGGAAACAAGGAAGGAGATGAAGAAGGAGAATGGAAGTACGTAGGGGCGAGGGGAGAATCAATTATAGATTATGGGATTGTCAACGAACAGGCGTGGGAAGAAATAGAGAGTTTCAAAGTGGGGGAAAGGGTAGAATCAGACCACATGCCTCTAGAAATAAAAATCAAAGGAAAAGAGCAAGAGTATGAAAAACAAGAGAGATGACACGAAAGAAAAGAATTAGAAAAAAGAATATGGGATGAAGAGGGAATTCAAAGATACAGAAGTAGACTAGAAAAAAAAATTCGAAGTAAAAGAAGATATAGAAGCTACGATGGTGGAACTGAGCAACCTAATTATAGAAGCTACGGAAAAAAGAAAAATATACATATGGCAAGGGAGGGATAATGGATGGAACGGAGAATATAGTGAGTTGAAGAGAAAAGCAAGGGAAAAATTAAGAAAATGGAAAAATAACAAGGGAAGGAAAGACGAGTACCTAAAAGCAAGAGAGAATTATTGGAGAAAATGGGAACAAAGAAAAAGAGAAAAACGAGAAGAAGAAGAGAAGACGATAAAGTCCCTGAAAACAGAAGTGCAAGTATGGAGATATATAAACAAGGAACGGAGAAGGAAGACTGAAATCGGCGGGAAAATCAAAATACATGAATGGAAAACACACTTTATGGAATTATTGAGAGGTTGTGAGGAAAAATGCTGCAAAATAACTAAAGGAATCACAACGGCGGAAGAAATGTGGAGAGGTTCGGAAATAACAAAAGATGAAATAGAAAGATAGATTGGAAGACTGAAAAGAGGAAAGGCACCAGGAGGGGATGGAATCCAGAACGAAGCGTGGATGTTCGGGACAGAAGAAGTGAAAGAAAAGATATGGGAAGTGGTAAATGGAGTTTGGAAGGGAAAAGGGTTTCCTCGGCAGTGGAGAGAAGGTATAATAATCCCATTATTTAAAAAGGGGCAAAAAAGTGATGTGAAGAACTACCTTGCTCAATGCGGCGTACATGATATATGCAATGATACTCGATGAGAGGTTTCGAAAGGAGATGGAAGCAAGGGGTACGTTACCAGACGGTCAGGCAGGGTTTAGGAAAGGAAGAGGTACTATGGACAATGTGTACATCCTGCGGCATTTAGTGGGAAGAGAAATAAGGAAAGAGAGTGGACGAATGTACGCTTTGGCCATAGATTTCAAAGCAGCGTTTGATAGCGTGGATAGAGAGAAAATGTGGGAGTATTTGAGGAGAAAGGGAGTAGATGCATACTTGGTAACGAAAATGGAAGAAATATATGAAGAAGCAGTAAATACGGTGAGAGTGAATGGAATAGAGAGTGAGAGTTTTTATACAAATAGAGGAGTGAGACAAGGATGCCCACTCAGCCCCGCATTGTTTGCAGCTTATCTAGGAGATATAGATGAAATGTTCAGAAAAGCACAGACAGGAGGGGTGGTAGTCGGCAAAGAGAAAGTGTGGTCGTTGGCGTACGCAGATGATTTGGTGATTGTGGCAAAGAAAAGAGAAGAAATGAAAGCAATGATTAAAAGTTTGGAGAAGTATGTAAAAAAAAAGGAATTGGAAGTGAATGTGGAAAAAACAAAAATGGTGGTGTTTGGGAAGAAAGTAAGAAAGGAGAAGGAAGAGTGAGCATGGAGAGGGAAGAAGATTGAACAGGTGAAAGAATTCCAGTACTTAGGATATACATTAAAGAGCAATAACTCAGATAGAGCGCATATTCAAGAAATGGTCCAAAAAG